ACGGACGCATGGACTCTCCCAGGTATAAATAGGAGCAGGTACTGCCTTTTGGCGAGGGAAGTTTCCAGCAGTCAGATCTCACAGTTGGACCGAACATTCTTGCTGTAACACTCTCGTTTGTATATGTTTGTATTACTATTTCAGTTAATATATTTGTTTAACTCAATTCCTCTTTTTGTGTCTTTATTTCTGGCCCTAACAAGGCCACAACAGATAGATAGATAGATAGATAGATAGATAGATAGATAGATAGATAGATAGATAGATAGATATGAACAAAGACATAGATAGATAGATAGATAGATAGATAGATAGATAGATAGTGTTATGGTAATTTAACCATGCACACATGGACTCTCCCAGGTATAAATAGGAGCAAGTATTGCCTTTTTTGCGAAGGAAATTTCCAGCAATCAGCTCTGACAATCGGACCGAACATTCTTGCTGTAACACTCTCATTTGTATATGTATGTATTACTATTTCTGTTAATATATTTAACTCAATTCCTCTCTTTGTGTCTTTATTTTTGGCCCTAACAAGGCCACAACATTTATCAAAAACGATATTTTAATAAAGTAATTTTCTGAGAGTAATTTGACATTTGGTTAGCTTCCGTAGGCATGGAAATGACTGAAAAAAAAAATCTTCCGATTCAATTTATAGGTAAAACACACAAATGCATTCTGGTATTTCTTTCTCGCCAGTACTATTGGCCACTTCTTGGTCTCATCAGATTTAGTTATGTTGTTTAATATGTTTCGCTTTTCTTAAAGCTTCATCGGAGAATGAAATATCGAGGAGAAAAATAACATTTTTGTATTTTTAATTTTTGTGTTTTTTTTTGGATTGGTTAAGCAAACTTCACATAAATCAGTCTTTTCAAGCAGCGTTCGTGTGTATAATGCATGTGTGTAGGTGTATCAAAATTCTAGTTTGTCTATGCAGGATTATAGTGCATATTCGTTTGTGTTATGTTTGTGTGCATCTAGTAGGCATTTTTATCAATGTCTGGTAGTTGTCAGCTTGTTGATTTAGTTCTGTTCATTCTTGTCTTGAAGGTAGAACGTTGCGATCGCTTGTCTGTATCCCCTTCTGTGTGTTAACACTATTCTTAAGGTTAATTTGCAGTAAAATCACCAACAGCCCAAGGTAATAAAAAATGTTCCATTATAGTGTGAAATTGCCTGATTATTTCGAAAATGACAATAAAAGTTTACGCTCGATTACAGTTTAGGATTTATTGACAATGTAAGTTCGACTTCTTTCGCGTTGTCCGGCCGCCATTTTTGGCGTTGTTTACATACGATTGCCTGGAATAATAATGCGCGGAAGCTTACTCACTTGACGGCCTTTTTACTGCTTTTCGTATCTTCTTACTTGTCTAGATTACTGCGCAATTTTCGCCAAAGTTATTTTAAAATGTGCTTTCTATTTTCTTATGAAGGTTTAAATGAATAGTTTTTATTTAATTGGTATAAATTCTTTTTTCCAATTAAAAGTAATTTTCTTTTGTAGAAGTGAAGCTTTATTAAATAATAAATTCCTTTTTTTAATTAAACTGGTTTAAAAGCTTTTCTAAATAAACATAATCGTTGAAAAAAAGCGAAAACATCTTTTTTTTTTTTTTCAGGCACGAAATTTCTTTTTTATTTTAATTGTCGGATTTTAGGGAAACTTTCATGACACAATTTTTAAAAAGTCGTTGAAAATTTCATTTTTTTTATCAACTCTGGCACGTAATTTTAATTTTCTTTTTTCTTCTTTTTTTTTTCATTTTTCCTGCTATATTTGGAATCGTGCATTCATTTTAAACGTCGCGGATCGCGCAGTAATCAAGACAACTAAACCTTCCGCGTCGCATCACCACTACAAACGTATGTAAAAGTAATGGCAGCCGTTCTGTCGACGCGATGCAAAAGAAGTCGAACTGACATTGTCCATAACTCCAAAACGGTAATAGCGGACCAACTTTTAATGTCATTTTCGAAATAATTAGTCCATTTCATACCATCGGGAGCTTTTTGTGCTTATACTTCAAATTAACCATAAAAAGTACTAGTCACAAAATACGACGTCGGCCAGTTTTTTTATATACTTTTTAATAGTTTTAAATTACCCAGTAATCCTTAAAATTTAGGAAGATAGTATATATTTTACTGAAAAATTTTAGAGGTGCTTTCGCTTTATATTACTCTTGACCAAGAAAACACTTGTCGAAGAAATATTAGGAAAACATACTTATTATAAAACCCAGGTTGTGTGTGTGTCTGTTCGTTTATATATTGGATCGGATTTCCAACATTTTTAAACTGATTTCAAGAAAACTTCACAGGACTACGTAAAATTACCTTGCGGTGGTTCTGACAGCGCCAAAAATTGGAAAAACACAATTGTTTTTGCACGAAATCAATTTGAAAACACGATTAAGAGGCATTAATGAAAGGGGGACAACTCATATCGAATTATACTTATTATAAAACCCAGGTTGGTTGTGCGTGTGTGTGTAGGGGTGTGTATGTGTGTGTGTGTGTGTATGTTCGTTTATATATGGGATCCGATTTCCTACATTTTTCAACCGATTTCAACAAAACTTCACTTTTTTTTCGCAGGTAGTGTTTCTTATTGTCTTGCATACTTTTTTCTTTATTTTTACATTCAGAATGCTTTAAAAATTCCATTTACAAGACAATTGTTTATAATAAAATTCTATTCAATCTGTAGACTCATAACGATTGAAAACAATGTTTTTGTTTGAGTTTGTGTTTGACCAATACGAAAAAAAAAAAAAAAAAACTAATTAAGACATACGTGTTCGTCAACCTTAAACAATAATCTTTGTCAATTTTATTTTTCAGTCTTTATGATGGTCGATACTTGATCTATCTCTTACTGTTACATCCCCGGGCAACGCCGGGCTCTACTGCTAGTTACTAATAAATTCTTAATTTACTGTATAGTTATGGCTTTTATCTTATCAATATCGCGTATGGACGTTTGTATTTACAGAAATTGTCAGATTAAATGCACACTCGGGTATGACCATTTTGAAACCGTCAGAATGGCACTTAATTTAATTGTCGAGATTTGACATGGTGAATAATGAGATAAAAACATTTTTTTTTTCGAAATCCTTACCGTTTTATTTGAGGAAACGTGTTTAAAGATGAAGTTTAGGTTGAAAGTGTAAAGTCTTGTAGCATAGTTTTTATTACATATTTTTTTAAATCACTTCATTTATCGAGAAATTGCATTTTAGGGCGAAATTTTGTTTCATTTCTTTTAAGCAGATTAAGGACAATATTGTCTTAAGAATATTTTTTACATTGCTTTTCTAAATAAATATAAGTTAATCAAAATTTAAACCGAAAGATTTTTTTTTTTTCCGATAACTCCAAAACGGTAGGTTTCTTCATAATTTATTTGTTAATTCGAGTTCAGTATGTACATTTACACGGAATTATGACGATTTGGGAAAATTTTAAGGGATATTTAGTGTGGGTGTTAAAATAGAAATTTACCGAAAAAAAAAATGACACACATTTCATGAACAGTTAAAAAATGTATTCCGTTTTTTTTTTTCAAATCACTTTAATTTCATGAATTATCGAGAAATTACATTTTAGGGCGAAATTTTCTTTCATTTCTATCAAGCAGATTTATTAAGGACAATATTGTCTTAAAAATATTTTTTCCATTGCTTTTCTAAATAATTTAAATGTTTTAAGTTAATCAACATTTAAACCGAAAGAATTCTCAGGACACTATCGTTATTCCTTTTTTTCTTGGAAAAAGGGTTCACTCATGACATATTTATTAAGAAAAGCTTTCAGTTGTATTTCTAAATAATTTTAAGACAATTTCAAAAAAAGAATTCATTATTTATTAAAGCTTCACATTTTCAAAAAAAAAAAAACACTTTCGTAAACCAATTTAATCAAAATTTAATTCGAGAAAAAAGAATTTATACCAGTTAAAAAAAAAAAACGAAAATTTTGCCGTAAAAAGTACTGGTCAAATACTATGTGGGCCACTTTTTATTATAATTTTTAAAAGTTTTCAATTATCCAATTAATCTTTAAAATCTAGGAAGATATTCAAATAATATCTTATTGACTTTTTTATAGGTGCTTTCACTTTATAGAAGACGCTTGTCGCGTAATTATGTGGAAATTACTAATAAATTCTTAATTTACTATATAGTTGCCGTGAAATTGCCTGATTATTTCGAAAATGACATTAAAAGTTTGCAGCCGATTACCTTTTAGGAGTTATGGACAATGTAAGTTCGACTTATTTGGCGTTGGCTCGACAGAACGGCAGCCATTACTGGCTTTGTTTACATACGTTTGCCTCGAGTAGTGATGTTTCTTTATTACTTAATAACAATACACATAAATACCTCTTTACTAGGTTCATTTTTTATCTTATCTTACTAATGTTCGAACTTACATTGTCGATAAATCCTAAATGGTAATCGATCGCAAATTTTTAACGGCATTTTCGAAATAATCAGGCAATTTCACATCATAATGGAGCATTTTTATTACCGTGGGATTTTGGTGTTTATACTGTAAATTGACCATTCTTAGTTTGTGAACTCATTGCCTTATTACTGTTTATTTGCCTTGCATATAGTGTTCGCTTGCTTAATATCATTTTTGCCCTGTTCATTTCTTTCATTTCTCTTGTCTTTGTTCATTGCAAGCTTTATCAATTCTATTTTTTTGTGCAGTTTTGCCAATTCCATTTAAATATGACGAAATACACTACACGTTTATATCATCAAATAATACTTTTAAATGTTTTGATTAAGATTATTTATTCAATTTGCTTTCGATAAAAAAAAATGCGCTTGCTGGGCCTCGCGTTTTACAGCCGCTAACTCCCGAGGCTGGCTTAAAGACACCCGTAAGTGAAGCGTCTTACTGAAAGTGTAACGAGCTTAATCGTTTGTCGAAGTTAATCGTTGCCCTGGTAGTTGGCACTGTTGTATTTTGACATGAGCAATATTCCTTATCTTCATTCTTATCCTCATCAGTATTTTATGAGATGGTTAACAACAATTATTGGAACAGATCTTATTCAAATATCGAGTATGGATTTTAGTTCGAATAATTAGAAAATTTGCGTATATTTCATTTTTTTCTCTTCATTTCGCGTCCGGATATTCGAAGTCCGGAGTATCGAGTTACGGATAATCGAGGAAGTAGCACGTTTTCGTAATGCTTCTTTAAGTTTTTAAAAATCTTCTCACAGTCCTTCGTTGCATTTTAGTCTACATCGTTTCTATTATCGTTATTATTATTATTATTATTATTATTAGTAGTAGTAGTAGTAGTAGTAGTAGTTCTTTGTTGCCTGCCGCTACGCGGAGAGCAGGATGATCCAATTTCAAATCTAAATTGTTTGTTCATTTAAAATACTGCACTTTTCAAAATACAGCAGAATCCCTGACAACCGGACTAAGAAGTCCTTCCGGATATGAGGAAATGGTTACAAAGTCCGGATATAAGGGGTTATATTTCGATTTAAATAAAAGAACTGAAATCAGGTTTAACATTTATTTTCAATGTTTTATAGTAAACAAAATAAGCTAATGGTGAGTGAAATATAACGGAATTGATTTTAAGGAAAAAGAAATAAATTATGTAATGTTAATAAAAATTCATTAAATTAATTATGCCACGTCTGCAAAACAAATAATGTAACGAGGATTTTTTAATCGTTGTCGTATGATGAATTCTTTCTCTTCTAATGTCATTCTCAACTTTTTCTGCATTTCGTTTTGTTTTTGTTCTTGAAACCTTTTAAACGAAAAACACTTTTTAACTTTGCATGCGTTATTGAATGCTGGCTTTCTTTCCATATAACTGACAACCTTTTCAATAGCATCTGTCTATATTTCTGAGATGAGGCATTATGTACACTATTTACATTATTCGAACTATTATGTCGCCATGTTTATCACAACGTTTCGGCCGTTGTACGCTCCGGCCTTCTTCTGAACCTTTTATTTCGCTTGCTGGGGTAGACTGTTCTAGTTCCACGTGTCCTGTTAATTCCCCTCTCAAAGTTCTCCACCGCCTTAACCAGGGATTGAACTCACACTCTTTGGGTCCTGTAACTGGATCTAACTAACGTCTTTATCCACTGTGCCATGTGTCCTTGATCCTCATCTGTGTATGAATCTCTGGGTATTATAAACCTAATGTCTTCAGCAACCATTTTTACCAGTTCTCATATTGCAATTTTTGCTGTTATCATTGCATTTTTTAGAGGAGCTCATATTGCATTTCTTTGTTGTTATTCTCGCTTTTCTCTGGCACACCTTATTACTGGTTCCCATATTGTATTCACTTCTATGCTTGGTCGGCTCAGGAGATTTTGTGGCCTAGCATATGTACTGATTCCTTAAGTTTACGAATTTTCCAATGGTGTTCTTTGTCTATGATCTCAATCTGATCCCACAGGTTGATTTCTCCATGTATACAGTACCTCAATTTCAACTCCCACCATCCATACAGCGTAAAGAAAGGGATCGTCCGCTGCTTACAACACCGAGCAAAACTCATAAGTGGCGACCCAGAGACATTAGATAAAGAATTGGTCCGTATAAGTAGTACCCTACAACGTAACAACTACCCTGGGTACATGGCGGCAGCCCCCAAAACTGGGATAGGCGGGTACAAGAGGAGGACAACAACACTCAGAAAAAAAGTCTATCTGCCCTATGTGAAGGGGTTATCAGAGAAAATACAAGATCCGTCCTGGGTAAGACGTTAAACTACATCCGCATCCTGGGTAAGATGATAAACTACATCCAGCCGCAAGGTCTCTTATCAGGAGGTTTTTAGGAGAGTTGAACCACCTCTTAATTGCTAGTGTTCACAGATCCACCCTGACCCAGGTTGTATAGCGAAGAAAACGGCGACTCACCTTGTCAAACCAAGCGACAGCGCGTCGCGTGTATTATACGATAGAAAATGTGGTGAAAATGAAAATTACTTACCAAAAAAAAGGGGGGGACGTATTCCGCATGACATGCTGAAGATGGAATATTTGAATTAAAAAAACAAGTCCGTCGCAGGAGTCTCTATAAAAGTATTTTGATATGCAAATTACTGAACACCCTCTCCCAGCTGTCGACGAATGGAAAAAAATAGGTTCTGCCGATATAAGCAGTTGGTGTTCTCGAATTGACAGCGGAAAATTCGGGCATTTTTGGCTTCGGCGTTTGTTAGAGAGTGAGTTATTTTTCTGACTGGTCGCGTGCATTGTGATTTGTGAGATAGTACCGGCGAATCGAGTTTTCAGCATTTCTTTCTGGCCCCGATATTCGAATCTGTACTTACAGTGATTTTCCTTTGTGTTGTAGAAGTAATCTGCGACAAATACTTCCTTTGCTTTCAGAACGCCTACAGGGTGGTAGCACCTGCTAGGGTACCAGCTATGGGCAAATAGTTAACTATTACCAGCAATACCTTTTTGAAAAAAAAATCTTACCAGCAATACAATTTTGAAGGAAAAATATTACCAGAAACAGATTTTTGACGAAACAAAAGTATTACCAGCAATAAAAAATGTTGTCGGCATTAAATAACCCATTGAGGATGATATGCTGTAAAACAAAATAAACCAAACCATGTAACATCAGGACAACCTTCAAAAGCCTGACGACACTTTGCAGATATCTCTCCCGAGTAAGACCCCGCCCCATGGAGGAGAACATGACTAAAGACTGTGTGTACGCTATCCGGTGCAGCTGCGGAAAGGAATATAAAGGAGAGACAGGCCGCCCCCTCAAAGCTTCAAGAACACCAGAAAGTTGTAACACGAGGGGAAGTAGAAAAATCAGGCGTGGCTGACCACATATGTAATAAATATGGCGACAAAGATGAGGACAATAGTCCGAATAATGTAAATAGTGTACATAATATCTCATCTCAGAAATATAGACAGATACTGAAGGGCCGAAACGTTGTAATAAATATGGCGACAAAGATGAGGACAAAAGTCCGAATAATGTAAATAGTGTACATAATACCTCATCTCAGAAATATAGACAGATACTGAAGGGCCGAAACGTTGTAATAAATATGGCGACAAAGATGAGGACAATAGTCCGAATAATGTAAATAGTGTACATAATACCTCATCTCAGAAATATAGACAGATACTGAAGGGCCGAAACGTTGTAATAAATATGGCGACAAAGATGAGGACAAAAGTCCGAATAATGTAAATAGTGTACATAATACCTCATCTCAGAAATATAAACAGATACTGAAGGGCCGAAACGTTGTAATAAATATGGCGACAAAGATGAGGACAATAGTCCGAATAATGTAAATAGTGTACATAATACCTCATCTCAGAAATATAGACAGATACTGAAGGGCCGAAACGTTGTAATAAATATGGCGACAAAGATGAGGACAATAGTCCGAATAATGTAAATAGTGTACATAATACCTCATCTCAGAAATATAGACAGATACTGAAGGGCCGAAACGTTGTAATAAATATGGCGACAAAGATGAGGACAATAGTCCGAATAATGTAAATAGTGTACATAATACCTCATCTCAGAAATATAGACAGATACTGAAGGGCCGAAACGTTGTAATAAATATGGCGACAAAGATGAGGACAATAGTCCGAATAATGTAAATAGTGTACATAATACCTCATCTCAGAAATATAGACAGATACTGAAGGGCCGAAACGTTGTAATAAATATGGCGACAAAGATGAGGACAATAGTCCGAATAATGTAAATAGTGTTATTTATTTACAGTATTTAATATACATATTTTTATAATCTTTTGTTAATATATGTTTATCTTTAAGATAAGTCGTGGCATACAACGATTTTTCTTTTTTCTTTCTTGTTATTTTAAAAAACATTGTTGAGCAAGTGTAAGGATTTCCCGCTAAGAGTTAAATATATCAAGAACATTAATGTATTTTATTTGTTAAATTAATTATAGTGACATAATTCTAATCTATTTATATTTAAGCGTAACATTTATTTATCTGTTGTTGTTTTTACGAAAGTGGTCGTAATTTTCGGAATTCGAGGAAAGTATTTTTGTAATGTTTATTTTGTTTATCTTTGATTAGTGGCTCATTATCGAAAATTTCTTTATCTATTGTTATCTACATTCAAAGATTATTTTAATAACATTTGATGTGATTTTTTTCCTTTAAATTTTCTTATTTATTAATTACAAAGTAACGTAATTACAATTTTGTTGAAAAAGCGTTCCCAGTTATAACTTTATTTCGTCTCGTTTTTACTAATAGTCAATTTTGTGTTATTTATCTTTCAAATATTTTAAAAACAACAACAGCAACAGTAACAATGATAATAATAATAATAATAATAATAATAATAATAATTATTATTATTATTATTATCATTATTATTATTGTAATAATAAGAATAAAATATTCTCCTATAATTGATAATTTTATACGTTATTGTTAATATTTAAAAGTATACCAATATATTGGAACATTGATGACAATCTGTTTACTCCGACATCCAGTATATAATATATATATATATATATATATATATATATATATATATATATATATATATATTTGAATAAAAAACAGACCACTTTAAGGTTCCATGTAATAAATTATTTCACCACAGCCCTTTTAAAGGGCACTGGATCATCAGACTTTACATCCAAAGGTTAAAATGAAAAATGAAAAGAAATTTACACATTTTTGACGGGCCGTATTAAGCATATGTAAATTAACGAAGTGAGGGGGAAAAGAAGACGAAGTGAGGAAGTGAGGGGGGAGAGAAGACATGAGTGAGTTAGATGTACCATTTCGATTCTTTATCCCTAACCCCACTTGGTGTGGGCCAGACAAACGCTTCACTTGACTTATGTTATCTTTAGATATAGATGGGTTAGTGGTGAAGAGGAAAGCCGACATAAAAGGAAGAAGATACAATAAACCAATCCTGATGAGAGAAGGTTTCACTTGATTTCTTGGACGCTGTTATTTCGCATATATATATATATATATATATATATATATATATATATATATATATATATATCCCGCGGAGCTATGTAAAGTACCAGGTTGAGAACTGGCGCGGGCTAGCTGCCCTTGATGAGGGTGAAATGAGTCTCTCTGAGGTTTGGTTAGCAATTCTTTTAATGTTGGTTTCACGATAAAAAGACTTCAGATGGGAAGGAAAACTTATGACAGCTTAACCCGGTCATTATGTTGCATATGTCTACCGAGAGGCGTGTACTGACTGATATTGACTGTGATCCGGAGAGGTTAAACTCCGCGATAATAACACATGAGGACTGTCGTTCGGAGTTTCCGTGGCAAGTTTTTTGCACCGTTACTTTTTTATCGACAGATCCAAAAAGTGTGGATGGTCAGACACAAGCCTTTACCACTTGAAACAAATCATTGTGTTGGTTTTCTGACAACTACATCAAATTAGTTCCACACATATCTGGCTACTGCGAAAAACTCTACGAGACATGATCAACTTCATTTTGGCACTTGGGATGTACAAACTCTCCAGGACAACAACTCAGCACCAGAAAGAAAAACAGCTCTGGTCGCATTAGAGTTAAAGAAGTACAACATTGATATAGCCGCACTGAGAAGTAACCATTAGTCGACTACATGAAACGAAAATGCAAAATAAGACATCTAACAGTGTTCCTGCTGCACTTGGATGCAATACATTCTCCTGTACTGTTTGTGGTCTTTTGTGCAATTCTTGGGCCGGTTTTAAAAGTCGTGCCCGTCATAGGCATGTAGATAATTAGTTTTTGGTCGTCAGAAACTCATACATCAAATTCGATGGGAGTGCCTATATATATATATATATATATATATATATATATATATATATATATATATATATATATATATATATATATATATATATATATATATATATTTCTTTCTTTCTTACTGTTTCTCTGTTGCGTAGAAAGACGACCGTTCTTCGCTCTCCTAAACTGGTGAACACAGACTCTTCCATTCACTAAGAGAGAGACATTAGTTCGTATGGAAATTTGGGCAGAATGAGTCGCAGAGTGGGCCGCACTTATTACGGCTCATTCTGCAGTAATTTGAATCCACGTGATTAAACCTTTTTTTAACTAATAATAACTAATCTTTTGTTCTAGTATTTTCTTTGGAATATTATTAACCAGAACTACGAGATAATACGAGCATTATAACACTTTCTTTCTTTCTTTCTTTCTTTCTTTCTTTCTTTCTTTCCATTTCTCTTCTTCGTATTTCATTCATTAATTTCCGCCGTTTTTTCACTATTTTTCTTTTCTTTCATTTTTCTTTTTCGTTTTTCTTCTGATTCTTGCGTTTGCACTTTTCTTTCAGTACCATCGGGTTTCTTTCTTTCTTTCTTTCTTTCTTTCTTTCTTTCTTTCTTTCCATTTCTCTTCTTCGTATTTCATTCATTAATTTCCGCCGTTTTTTCACTATTTTTCTTTTCTTTCATTTTTCTTTTTCGTTTTTCTTCTGATTCTTGCGTTTGCACTTTTCTTTCAGTACCATCGGGTTTTTTTCTTTCTTTCTTTCTTCCTGTTCTTTCATTCTTTGTTTCTTTAAACACACCTTCTTTCCTGTTCTTTTTCTTTCTTTCTTTCTTTCTTTCTTTCTTTCTTTCTTTCTTTCTTTCTTTAAACACACTTTCCATCCTGTTCTTTCTTTCTTTCTTTCTTTCTTTCTTTCTTTCAACACACCTTCATTCCTGTTCTTTTTTCTTTCTTTCTCTAAACATATCTTCCTGTTCTTTCTTTCTTTCAACACACCTTCCCTCCTTTTCTTTCTTTCTTTCTTTCTTTAAATACACCTTCCTTCCTGTTCTTTTTCTTTCTTTCTTTCTTTCTTTCTTTCTTTCTTTCTTTCTTTCTTTCTTTCTTTCTTCACCCCCTTCTCGTATTTGCATCTTTGCCTTTCATTATTTCTTTCCGTTCTTTTTTCTTTTCTTCTTTCTTTTCGAAACATTCTTGTCTCTGTCTCTTTCATTTATCATTGTCTCTCTTTATTTATTTACTTTATTTAATGTTCCTTCCTCCTTCAAACTCATTCACCTTTCCGTTTTCTTTCCCAACTAGTTTTTCATTCTTCTCTATCTATCTCTCTTTTTTTTTGTTTATTTGTTGTTGTTTTTTGTTTTGTTTTTGTTTTTTTTATTCCCTGTTTTTGCTTTTCCCGGATATTTCAAGTTTTTGTTTTTTTTACTGACTGACCGGAGATGGAAATTGCCGCCGTCATTTTGTTGCCAGTTAGTCGGAAATGGCAAAACGAATTCCCGAAAGAGAGACGACGAGAATAGATGGGACTGACGACGCCATTTTATACGTGGGCGATCGAGCACGGTCAGTGTAGAATTCTGGGATTGACCAAAGTAATACTGATTGAATTTCTGTGTTATTTTTTTTGTTTTGCTTCTTTTTTTTTCTTTTTTTTTTTGTTGTTTTTTATTTTATTTTTTTATTTTTTTTTTTTTGTCAGGGTGGGGGTGTCATGACGAATGCATATATTTAGGGAATACGACCGCTCAAAATACACGTCGAAGCGTACATCGTCGCTCGCTATCAGATCAAAAACAGACATTTATACGAGAGCACCTCAACCGAGAAAGGTTACCGTGACCAAAAACTGCGTATACAACATCCCTTGCAAAAACCCGATTCATAAGAGTGAATGCCATTTTTCCGTAAAACGGTTTCACTGAAATCGTTAAATCGAATCTTAACTCAGTCAAAAATGTGTCAGGCATGCCGGCCTCCTTCGTAAGATTAAGGGATACGGAATTTCAGGTAGATTATTTGACTTAATGCAATCATTCCTGCCAAACCGTGTAATGAAGGTCGTCCTTAACGGATTCTCCTCCAGTTCCTTTCTCACGAAAGCAAGGGTTCCCCAAGGCTCTATCCTGGGCCCTACTCTGTTCCTTATCTTCATTAACGATCTCCCCGATGTCATCAGTTCCTAAGTAGGTATCTATACAGACGACACTACTATTTACTCCTGCCTCAATAGCCGTTACTCCTGGTATCGCTGACAAATCTAACATGGCCGTTAGTCTCGAAAAGGACCTCCAATTGGTTGTTGACTGGTGCAGGAATTGGCTGGTTAACTTTAATGCCTCTAAAAAGAACTGCCACCCATTAGAATCTCTGATGCTCAACTCGACTCGACGAGAGCACCTCTTTGCGACTGCTTGATCTCAAACTGTCCGCTGACTTGAGATGGAACAATTACATTGAATCAATTGCTTCATCCACCGCAAGGAAAGCTGGTTTCCTGTGTCACGCCAAAAAGTTTTTCTCTCCCGAGTCCATCCTTCAAATCTATAAATCAACCATTCTCTCTTGCATGGAATACTGCTGCCATATACTGGTATCTCCGTTGTTCGCCTTAAAGTCCTCGACAAAATCCAGAGACGGATATGCAATATTCTTAGCCCTGATCTGGCATCTCGTCTACAGTCGCTATCTCACAGACGTGCCGTCGCCTTCCTCTGTCTTTTCTAAAAATACTTTAAGAGTAACTCCTCCGACGAGCTACTTTCGCTAGTGCCCAGACTGCATGAATTTAAGCGTGCTACTAGGCTGGCATCACGGTCCCACGGTCGAAACAGTGAAATGTGGCTGTCTCTTCTACTCCAATAGCTTCATTTCTCGTACCTCTCGTCTGTGGAATTCATTTCCTATTACTTGTTTCCCTGATAGCTATAATCTTCAACAATTGAAATGTAATGTCAATCGACATCTCCAGATGCCCTGATCTATTCCCTGTCCTTCTCTTCATCCTTTCCTCTATCACGCCTCTTTACTCTCGCTCACACTCTTGCGTACGAGTGGCATCCCGCCTTGCTTGGGGTGAAATGCTTAAAAGAGAAAATTCAAGGGAGACAACTTTTATATTTGAATGGTCATTTGCGCATCAAGCAAGAGGCTTCTGGGTGTAAGACAATAGGAGAAAAAAAACACTATTACATATAGAGGACAATAAAAGAATAGGACTTTAGGAGACAGAAGATAACGATTGGCATTGCATTTAAATTTTTAGAAATCAAAGTTGACTAGAAGGATAGAAACCGGAAGAATCCCACAAGCGAGAAGTGCGATAGAAGAAACTGCTAGCATAGAACTTACAGTTAAATCTAGCCGTTTCAGCTGTAAGATGATGAGACATAACCGCCAGTCTAGTACTTCGTTTAAATTCCTAGAGTTTAGATACGATAGAGGAAAATCCATCAGAACAATTGCCAGAAAAAATATTTATAAAAAAAAAAGGCATAGGAGTAGCTACGTTATGGTAGTAGGAAAGTGACTGGAGCCGAGATGCTTGCTTCGGACCAATAATATTGCAGATTTCCTTTTGTATTTAATCAAGAATCTCTAAATGCATAGAAAAAAAATATTTAAATGTGGTTTTTTAATCATTTTTTATTTGTTTTTAAATACTTCTAGAATTGTTATATAGGAATAAAGTGTCGCTGCCGGCACTTGAGTTTGAACGTAGATCGCCAGTGGGCAAACACAGGCGATCCCATTATTGATGTAAGTAGGCCACGTGACCATAGACGAATATATATATATATATATATATATATATATATATATATATATATATATATAAATATATAATATTATAAGTCAACATTTAGAGGCGACAGGCTGTTTCATGCTAGACGCAATCGACAGAATACTATTGGCCTGATGATTGGGTCTAGCATGAAACAGCCTATCGCTTCTAAGTGTTGACTTCAACATTCACTTTTATATTTACACACGCGCTATCTCTGATATTGAGCACTTTATCCCATAAATAAACCACACCATAAGAGTATATTTCTCCATTTATATATATATATATATATATATATATATATATATATATATATAATGAAAAACAGACCACTTTAAAAGGTACCATCACAATAATTTATTTCACCAAAATCCTTTTTAAAGGATTTTGGATCATCAGGTAACACTTCCAACAATTTCATTTCATTGTTAAAAGTGTTACCTGATGATCCGAAATCCTTTAAAAAGGATTTTGGCGAAATAAATTATTGTAATGGTACCTTAAAGTGTCTGTTGTTCATTAAATATTAGCTCTGTTCTTCACATTGACCTCTCAGGATTTCATCCTCCTTGGATTTACCAATTTGGTTTACCAAGTTCTTCATAACTTAATTATATATAATTCTCAGCAATTAAGTTTCTTGTTCATAGCTAAATTTTACAACTTTAGTTTCAGTCTTGAAACAGAAATTTCTGTGTGGCGATAGAATCATATTTCTAAAAAGAAAATCATTATTATTCTTATTATATATATATATATATATATATATATATATATATATATATATATATATATATATATATGAACCTAAAGAGACAGGCAAACCTGCCTAGGTTTCACCTACGCGGATCTTCAGGGTACTGACGATCCACGTAGGTGAAACCTAGGTAGGTTTATCTGGCTCTTTAGGTTCATAGTTAGATTTGCTCTGCTTAGTGTATTGAGCACTTTACTTAGTAACTTTTGCTTTACTCGTTATGGAGGGTTTTTTTTCTTTGGACTCTGAACATGGATTCAATTCCATGGCCTTAATTCTTTCTTTTTTTATCCCTTATTTTTCATTGGCCATTGGTTTGTGCAATTACAAGCCAAAATACCTAAGGTTTTTTCAGACGAGCATAATTTATATATATATATATATATATATATATATATATATAATGAAATGGATTAATCCGGACAATTATTTAATATATCTTCTGTTGATACGTTACTTTTATAGATACAAATTATTTAAGTAAATGCTCTGTAAATATTATTAATTACATTTACCGGACTGAATGTTCGAGAAATTTCGTAGAAAAATTTGCGTTCTCCGACAAGAATTGAACTTGTATTTCATAAATGGAAAACGTCATTTAATTCAGGCCGATACATGTAATCATTTCAGTTTAATTAAAAAACAGAACATTTGCTTAAATAAATTGTATTTAAAAAAAAACGTATAAACAGATATTAATATATTTTTTGTTCATACGTTATTTTAATCCATAACATCTAATATATATATATATATATATATATATATATATATATATATATATATATATAGATTGATAATATTAGTGGTCAATATATATATATATATATATATATATATGTGTGTGTGTGTGTGTGTGTGTGTGTGTAATATATAATTTAGGCCAGAAAATCGGTAGTGAATTATGCATCGAAAAATAATTCATATATATCTGTATCTCACTCATTTAAACCGTTATTTAACTCCTCTCTTTAAAACTTCTCTCTGTTAAATTTTAATCCCTACCTTCACCTTTAGGCCTTCCTGTTCCTCTCTCTAGTACTTTCATACATTTCCCTTTCACTCTTGTCTTCTACAGCCATACATACACTCTCACTCTCACTAAAATTTTGTTTTTTATACCCAGAGCCGATTTCTTTTTTGAATTTGTCGGTCTCATGAATTGGATCGTAATTACGATTCCAATGTAATAAATTATAACCACGCAATATTAATGTTTGAGCTTTTTTTTTTTTATATATATATATATATATATATATATATATATATATATATATATATATATACTTTAAAACTCAGGTGCTCCGATCCGATACCTTGGTTTCAACCTTAGGGTGCCTTCAGGCGATTTTAATTGAATCACAGACTAACACTTTTTTTATCCAGCTTCATATGTACTTAAGATTTTTTTGAGTTCATATGAAGCTGGATAATTAAAAGGAATTTATCACGTAGCAATACATTTAAAATACACTTGCTTTTTCTTTCTTCCCCTATTCCTTCTTCTTGAAGCTAAGGTATTCGATTAAACTGACCTCTTGATTTTTAAAGTTAAAACCTCTACATGAGAATTTTTTCTTACGTGTATTGAGTATGTTTAATATCATTGTTTACTGGTCGGATTCAACTCTGACCATTAACCTTATATATATATATATATATATATATATAAACACATTTTTATGTGCATGCATTCTTTTTATAGATACAAATATTTAAATAAATGCTCTGTTTTATAATATACATTATTAATAACATTTAACGGCCTGAATGTCCGAGAAATTTTCATGCAAAATATTCGTCCTCCGACAGGAATCGAAGCTGTATCCTATACGGAACCGTCATATAACCTGACGTGCCTTAACCGATCGAGCCACGGAGGATCGTTCGGTTAGCAAGGTCGATTTTACTGCTTTCAAACTACAATCTTCTATGAATCTCTCACGTACATTCATATCTGCTCAAAGCGTATCCAAATGTAAACAAATAACGTCACACATTATAAAATGGACAAGTCCGACAATTATTTTAAGACATTTTTATGTTTATACATTCTTTTTATAGATACAAATATTTAAGTAAATGCTCTGTTTATATATTTTTTCTGGGAGAGCGGGTGATATCTCACGTGATCAAAAATCGGAACAAGGCCAGCACACTCAAAACCTTGGTCAAATTTCACTCATAAGGGTTCCGTCTACCCAATTTCATCCACAAGAGTTCCGTCTACCAACTTTCACTCATAAAAGAAAGTGTAAAAGAAAAAGTGGGGAAGTAAAGAGATAAGAAATAAGT